CTCCCAGCGGCAGCACCGGCAACAGGCCCGTCTGTTTTTCCTGAGCAGCCAGCGCGGTAAGCTCTCCCTCACGCGGGAGCCGTGGCTCGTCCAGGCCACCGGAAGGGCAGCCGGTGCTGGGAGCAGCTCGGGCTTTGGAGCGAAGAGGACCAGACTGCCGCCTGGGTCTGAGCTGGCCGCCCTCTGAGCCGCAGGCTCCACGCCTGTGGAATGGGCCTCACAGACAAGGTGAACCTGCGGGCCACAGGCCTCAGCTCGCAGGTGTGAGCCGGCTCCGAGCCCAGGGCTCCCTGCCCCGCTCGGCACTTCGCTCCCACCCGCCCCACCACGCACCCCGAGACAGCATGGCAGCCGGACAGGATGCAGCCAACGGGCCTGCCTCCTCTCAGCCTCGACTGCCCCATCAGTAGAAGTGGGGGATTAGCAGGGGTGGGAACACCTGGCCCTCGGGCCAGATAAGGCCCCTGAAATCATTTGGTCTGGCCCTGCCGAGGCATTAGGGGGGAGTTAATTAAATGTCTGACCAAATAGAGCAGGCTAATTTTTAAAAAATATATTTTTATTGATTTCATAGAGGAAGGGAGAGGGGGAGAGAGGGAGAGAGAGAGAGAGAAACATCAATGATGAGAGATAATCATTGATCAGCTGCCTCCTGCATGCCCTCTATTGGGGATTGAGCCCACAACCCAAGCTTGTGCCTTGACCAGAATTGAATCCGGGACCTTTTAGTCTACAGGCCAACGCTCTATCCACTGAGCCAAACCAGCTAGGGCAGAGCAGACTAATTTTTTAAAAAATATATTTTATTGAATTTTTACAGAGAGGAAGGGAGAGAGATAGAGAGCTAGAAACATCGATGAGAGAGAAACATCGATCAGCTGCCTCCTGCACACCCCCCACTGGGGATGTGCCCGCAACCCAGGTACATGCCCTTGACCGGAATCAAACCTGGGACCCTTCAGTCCACAGGCCGACGCTCTATCCACTGAGCCAAACTGGTCTCGGCCAGAGCAGACTAATTTTTAAGCTGATAATTTTGTATGGCCGTCGAATGATGTTATAAGTATCCGAATGGCCCTGGGCAGGAAAAAGGTTCCCCACCCCCGGATTAGACTGTGATGTGAGATTGTTAAGGTTCTTTCCAGCTCAAACGTCCTTCCGTTCAGAACCTTCTACAAGAGTCCGGGGCCCAGGAAAAAGCAAGAGAGCCAGCTCCTGTGGCTGTCGGCCGCGGACAGCTGAGAGCTGCGCCCCGCTATTCCGGGCTCATGAGTTCATCCCCAGCCGGTGCCAGCCCCTGTGGCTTCCCATCCTCCCGCCTGGTCCCGGTGACAGAGTGACTAAAAATACCCGGCTCCCAAGGCCCGCCGGCTGCCGCCTCCCTGGGCCCGGCTCTGTGCCAGGTTTAGGTGCCTGCCAGCAGCCCGGCTGGCTCCTGGGTGTGGTCAGGTGGGAACAGCCCATTCCGGTTCTGCCACATCCACTTTCCAGCACATTCCAGCTCCGTGGCTTTCCAGCTGGTGAATTCGCCCCGTCTGGAGCCTCAGAGCCTCAGTCTCCTCATCTGGAAAATGGGGACCATTCTCCCAGTTTATTGAGAATTAAAGGAGACAGCCCGGCTGAAGAGCCCGACCCGACTGCGGGCTGGCTCGGTGCCTGTTCCTGCTTCCTCTGGACCCGTCCTCTCTGCTCGGTCCCTCCTGGTGATTCAGACCCCGGATCCCGTGCTGCCCGCTCCAAACCTGACCCAGTTGCGCACGGGCCGAGGAGAGGAAGGCTTTGCCTACCCCGCTTCCCGAGGCAGCCACAGGTGAACGGGGTGGTCACGGAGGGAGGAAGGAGTCCTGAGCAGGACAGCAAGTCACCCCACTGGGGTCAGAAAGAGGGCAGAGAAGGGACACTTGAGCAGGGCCTTGCGTGATGAATAGGAGTTCACCAGACAGAGAAGCAGCAAAGAGAGAGCAGAGAGAGCAGAGCCAGGGAAGGGGGAGGGGACGTCTGGAAGACAGGACAGTGGCTGCGCGTGGCTCCGGCTCAGGTGGGAGTAGCAGCATCGATGGGGCAGCCCCGCTGCGGCCTGAAACCCGCCTCACGAGGCCACGTGCCCACGGCGGCTCCCCCAGCGTCCGCTGCCAGGGCTGCCAGGCGGGAGAGGAGGCTGCCTCTGCTGCATGCCCACCCCGCTTCCCCCCAAATCATGCTGCCCAGGCCCCCAAAGGCGAGGCCTCTATCATCCCCGTTATTACAACTCGCCTGCGGGGCCCATTGTTAAAGGGCCACTGAAGGGATGAGCTGGAGGGGGTCTCAGGAGGGTCCGGGACCGCGGGCTTCGTCCACAATGTGACCCTGGGCTTTGCCCAATAAAGTGAAGCCAGGTCTGCCTTAAGCCCAAAGAACAAGCTTCCTGTCTGGCCGACTGTCCAGCTCCTTCCTGAAGAGGCTCAAACCATCAGCACTTGGTCGTCGGCCATCGTGTCCCCCTCCGGCCCCGGGCAGCCCCTGGTCAGTCCTCTGTGGGCTCTGCTCCTCCTGGCCCAGGAGTCACTGTCCGCGGCTGGGCTGTGCCCCCGGGGCCACAGGAGGTCTGTCGGGATGGAAGACAGAATCCGCTGGTGGACATCCAGCGGCGGCTCCAGAAACCTGCCGCCTTATCTCTGCGAGAGGCTGGTGCATCTCAGACTCTCGGTGGGAACCCCGCGGCCTGCCCGGAGCCCGTGCGGCCTTCCTCCGGCACAGGGAGACCTCGCTCAGCGCCACCGATGTTCCTCTCCAAACGGCAGGTCTCCCAGAGCTGTCATCCTGAGGTTGTGAAACTGGGGCATCGATTCCGAGTTTTGAAAGCGAGGAAAAGTTCAGCCGGGGCCGGAGGGGTTGTTCCTGGAGCCGGGACGGTCTGAGACACCGTCCGCGTGTCCTGAGACGGAGGGAGACAGGCCGCTGTGGGTGGATTTCTCAATCGTGCAAGAAGGTCGGGAACTGGGGGGCGGGCCGGACAGAAGAAGGGGAATCCGATACGGAGACCCGGGTCGCAGTCCACTGGCGGCGGGGGGCCAATAGTTTACTTGCCGGTTTGGCCCGGGTCCTGGGCTGTAAGGTGGGAGGGTGGGCTGGGTGCCCCCAGGGGCTCAGGTTTAGAGACTCTCACTGTCTCGGCCTCCCTTTGCCCACCTGGCAGGCGGCGGGACTGAGCCAGACGATTCAGGGAGCAGTGGGGTCCGAAGATGCCTGTGACCCTTTCTGATTGTCATTGGACGATTCGCAAGGGGCGTCGCCGGGCACTGGCCTCCAGTACCCGTTCTTCCCGGGAATTTGGGAGGAGCATTTCCTCCACTAACCGCACTCGGTGCGGGTCTTCCCAGCGCCGGGAATAGAGGAGGATTGAAGGACACTTCATTTTCTCCCCGCGAGGCCGTCACAGTGCCACCACATCCCGACTGATGGTGGGCGAGGACATGGAGGTGTGGACAGGAGTGGGTCACGCTCTCCCGCCTTCGCCTGAAAAAGAAGGGAACCTTTGGGGTTCCTTGGGGCCACGAGTCTGCGGGTGTGAGCTGTCCCCTCTGCCCCCAGCAAGCCTTCCTGGGCACGCTGCGGCCGTCCTTACGCGCCAGGGACAGCGTTTATCTCGGGGACCCTGGCCCCCAGGAATAAGGCTTTCTTGTTTCGTTCCAGCTCAGCACTGGCCGACCACCCCCACCTCCCAAACCGGTTGGGTTCAGGCGGGCCGGGGCCTGCTCCTGGGCCCCTTTCAACAAGCCTGGGAATCAGCCTCAGCCAACGGGCCCCTCCTGTTGCGCCCAGGACTGCTTCCACCGTGGGCAGGTTGCTCCACCCCGTGCCTTTCTCGACCCCCTGCCCATCGGATGCCCGGCTTAGTGCCCTGGCTTCCAAGATCTGCTGCTGTTCTGCCCGCACTGGCAACTGGTCCCAAGCCTTCCTGTGAGTGGATGCAGCCTTCTGCTGGGCACTTGGCTCTTTGTGTATTTTATATATATAACTGATTTCAGAGCGGAAGGGAGAGGGAGAGAGAAACATCAATGATGAGAGAGAATCATGGATTGGCTGCCTCCTGCACGCCCTACACTGGGGATCGAGCCCACAACCTGGGCATGTGCCCTGACCGGGAATTGAACCGTGACCTCCTGGTTCACAGGTCAACGCTCAGCCCCTGAGCCACGCCGGCAGGGCTAACTCAAGGATTCTGATGCAGAAGTCGGCAGGGGTGGACCGACCACCCTGGGGTACTTCGGTCCCTGCCCAGGCTCCTGCTCCCGCAGCCTCCCTGCCCAGGGCCTGTTGGAGCGCCTCGGTGATGGGGACCCGGCACCCACAGGCAGCCCACTCTGTCTTGAGACAGCTGTGCCTGCCCCTCCCCCCCTGCATGGAGCTGGGGGTGCCTCCCCTGTGGATGCGTGGGCCGCCCTTCCAGTCCCTTAGGGCCCCCAGCAGTGGATGAGCCCTTCACAGCAGCCCTTGTCCCCTGCAGGCTCACAATGCACCCCACCCATATCCCGCCCCCCCACACCCTCTCTTGCTTGTTTTTTGGTACAATAGCACTAAGTCAGCATCTTGTCCAGATGGATAGATGGATGGATGGATGGATGGCTGGATGGATGAATGGATGGATGGAAAGGGAGACTGGGCGACCCCGAAACAAATGCTCATGAAGGGGGTCCACAGCCACACGGGGCTGGCGGGAGGGGCCGGGCGGGTCCCAGGGGTGAGGCGGTGGGTTCTGCGTCTCCCAGCCCACACCCAGGGGGCACGAGGCTGCCCTCGACCTCTGTGAACTTGTCCTAGTTCCAGGCGTCAGAGGCTCCTCATTCTCCCTCCTCCTGAGGCGTCATGGGCAGGAGAGTCCTGTGAGGGGAAAGTAAGAAACCACGGACAGATGCCCAGCGTCTCCTGCGGAGAAAGCAAGGTGTCAGGCGGGTCCTGTGTGCCGTTGGAAGAGGAAAGGCGAGGAAAACGGGAAGCCATCGGGTGTGCGCCTGGGAGTTAGAGGAAAGGCACTGCGTCTCTAGCTTCTGGGAAGAAGGGTCTGGGTGCCCGGGGGCGGTGGGGCCGCTGGAAGCTGTCTGCAGGCTGGCTGTTGGCAGGCCGGGCCGGTGGGGAAGGGGAGTGGTGAGCGTGGGCGTGCAGACATCACAGCCGATCCGCGGGGCCGGGGACGGAGACCAGCCTCCCGCCCACCTCCGCTGCCAGTGTCTCCTCTGCTTCCCAGCTCATTTCTCTTTTTTAAAAAAATATATTGTTATTGATTCCAGAGCGGAAGGGAGAGGGAGAGAGAGAAACATCCATGATGAGAGGGAATCACGGATCGGTTGCCTCCTGCACGCCCCCCTAGGGGATCGAGTCCCCCAACCCGAGCATGTGCCACAACCGGGAATCCAACTGTGACCTCCTGGTTCATAGGAGCCCCGCCGGCCGGGGGATAGCAAATTTCTTAATGGGCTCTGGCAGCGCCCATGCAGCCTGCGTGTTCCACTTGCTCCTTGGATCATAGGCGTGGCCTCAGAGCCGAAGGAGAAAGCCCTGGCGCTTGTTACATGTGCAGGTGTGGCCTTTCTGCTCCCCCAAATCTCAGTCAGATGTTGCAGGAACATCGCCCAGCTCAGTAAGGTGTTTGCATGCAGACAATGGCGGCTAATAGAAATCCCATTTGATACCGGCAAGGAGGTCTCCATAGGCGACATCAACTTTGCACAGGGGCGTGGAGCGCATCTTCCACTCCTTTTAGGGAGCCTGGTTTATGTCCCCCCCTCCCCCAGACCACTTTCTGGGGGCTCCCAGACATCGGAAGTGCGGGCTGTCATGTAGCTCAGCTTTTGTACAATCTCCTTGTTTTCCCAGCCTCCCAGCCCCGAGAGAATCGCGGTGACGGGCAACCTAAACCCTAATAGCGCTCCGAGGTCATCAGGGCGCAACGCGTTTGCCCTGGGCAGACACAGCTCCGCGGCTGGGAGGGCTCCCTCTGGCTCGCCCGGCTCCCCGGCCTGGGATTAAAGCTGTTCTTTTCCATTTAGAGTCCTGGGAATTGGGTTATTACTGCCAAAGACGAAGGACTGGGTTTCTAGAATGATCACGGAGGAAAAGAATGCACCAGACAGAAGCCCTGGGTGTTTCTAGAAAGGTGGGCAGGGGGTACCTGGGCGGTGTGATTCCGACAGAGACGTTGCTGCCAGCGACTGGGGAACACCCTGGGGGGTGGAGAACGCCCGACACCCCCACCAGGCTTCGGTGATGGGGCGGCAGAGGAACCCCTCAACCTCCAGGACCTCCCTGCGCCCTTGGGGAGCAGAGCCCGTAGCCCTCAGGTCTCCCTGACAGCCGCCCACTGAGGATGTCTGGTCTCAAACTCCCAGAATCCATTCAGTTCAATTCAAATAACACTGTGAGGGCCTCCTGGCGCCAGAGGGCAGTGGGGGCAGGGAGAGGATGCACTGGGTCCTGTGGTCACTGACCCGCTCGCCAGCCCTTGACGAGTCCCTGCTACGTACCAGCTGTCCGGCTGGTGTGAGGGATACAGAGAGGAATGGGAGGGGGCCTCCTACTGGCGGACAGACAGGGCTCCCAGCAGAATCACCCCCAGAGGGTGAGTGAGAGGAGAGCTGTGTGGCAGGAGAACCGAGTGTCAGCCATTGGCACTTTTTTAAAAATCCTCCCCCGAGATATTTTTCCACTGATTTTTAGAGAGAGTGGAAGGGAGGAGGAGGAGGAGAGAGAGACATCAATGGGAGAGAGACACATCGATTGGTTGCCTCCCACACTTGCCCCGAATGTGCCCTGACCAGGACTGAGGATTGAGCAACCGAGGTACATGCCCTTGACCGGAATCGAACCTGGGACCCTTCAGTCTGCTGGCCGACGCTCTAGCTACTGAGCCACACCGGCCAGGGCTGGCCAGTTGACGCGTGATGGGATTCTGGACAGTCGGGACCAGAACGTCCATAAGAAATCAGTGACAGACGGGGAACTGGGGCCCGGCGGCACTGCGTTCCACGCCGGGTCACCTGGCCGGGTGCTGACAGGCTGAGGCTGGCATCCCTCCTCCACGCTGGCCCGGATTCCACAGGAAAATGGAATCGGGTGACGGCTCAGGAGCAATGCTGTGGATCCCAAGGGCCAGCGTGGGGGTCTGTGGATTAGGTGTTGGCCCCGGTGGGGGCGGGCGGTGGAGGGGAGCAGGCACAGGTGGCCCGTGGGTGCCCGTCAGCCGCTGCTGGGCCTGAACTTCCTAGGAGAACAGCTGGGACCCTGCGCCTGCTGTTGGAGGAGTGAAGTGGAGGAGCTGTGGGTACCAAATCCCTGACACCCAGGAGGACATACCTTCCCCGCCCCCCCTCTGCTGGAGACAAACACAGACAGACAGATGGACAGACATGCTGACCAGAGAGGCACAGCACCCAGATACACACCCACACCCGCCCAGAGGGCACACAGCACGCAATTCGGGGTCACTGGCAGCTCCCAGGCTGCAGGGACCTGCATCAGGCGAGCATGGATGCCTTGGACACCTGCGCCTGCGCACACCTGTGACACCCACGCGCTGTCACTCTGGCCTGCCGGGAGGAGGCGGGGACATGAGTGAGCGCCAAGTCGTGGCCTGAGCAGGTGCGTGGGTGTCCCCCCCCTCAAATGGGCAGCGGGAGAGCGGGGGCTGGCCGCTGGGTAGCTGAGCGCAGTGGTCCTGCGCAGGGTGGTGTGTTGCCATGGAGACGAGAGCCTGCGATGCCGCGTTGGGAGGCAGGCTCCAGCGCGTGGGCGGTGGATCCACGGATCCAGGATCACGGGGAGGGAGGGAGGGAGGAGGCAGGGAGGTCGGCGTGGGAGACTCTCCAGCAGGGCCCTGCCCCTCCCCAGCTCCGGACCAGGGGAAGAGAAAGGGGAGGGGTGGGATGGGCCTGGGTCTGAGAGGGGTGGGACTGGCGGTGGCGGAGGGTAGGAGCCCTGAGCCTTTCCCACTCTGGGAGGGTTTCCCATCCAAGGGTGATGGGCTTGACTCCAGTGTGGTCGCCGGAGGCTGCTGCCCCCTCTTGCCAGGGAGGGTGTGAGGCGCAGCTGGGCCAGCCGGGCATGGGCTTAAATAGGGCGGCGACGAGAAACCCAGCCAGAGCCCCCAGGAGGAGGGCTGGCTCTGGGCTCTGAGGCTCCGGGAAGGCGAGGTGGGTGCAGGAGGAGGGAGGGGTGCACCGCTGGCTTCTGCTGGGGTTTCTGTGGAAATGTTTGCTTGGGCAGAAAAAAATCTGTTGCCATGGCAACCCAATGTCTTCCCGACCAAGCTGAGTCCCTCGTGGTAGAATGTCAGAGATGCCAGGAACGGGTTACCTTAGGGGGCTTCCCTGGGCTGGGCCCCGGGGCAACCAACAACCTCACCCCAAAGGGTGAGGGAGCCACGTCCCTTCACGCACTCATTCACTCACCCATTCATTCAACACACACTTCCCGGGCCGCGGGGATGTGGTACCCACTGAGCCCTGTTGCTCAAGAGGTGCACAGTGTGGTGGGGAGGCGGGTGTACATGCCGGCCGATCGGAGGGGAAGGGTTTCCACAGGGCAGCGGAGACGGGGTGCAAGCTCAGAGGAAGGCTCCTGGGAGAGGTGACACTGTTCTGGCCACTGTTCTGGGGCAGGGAGAGCCGTGCAGGCAGAGGGAGCAGCAGGGCAAAGGCAGAGAACAGGCCGCTTCCAGGGAGACAGGTGCCTGAGGGCCTCACCCCAGGCGAGGCGAGGCTGGGGACAGGGGTAGCTCAGGAGCAAGCTGTCTGCACTTGGACCCTCGGGTGCCACTTCCGAGACGGGTGACCTCGAGCAAGGCACTTCACCCCTGAGCACCCGGTTTTCTCATCTGTGAAACGGAGATCATAATATTGTCCACCTCGGGGTTGTGGAGGATATAGGCTAGGATGTAGACACCACTGTGCAGGGCCTGGCATGTAGCAATATTATCTATGATAATAAAAGGGTAATATGCTAATTAAACCAGATGTCTTCCGGACGTCATTCCAGACGTCCTTCCTGACACAGCTGGGTCCGGAGGGAAGCCCAGGTCCCGGGTGCCTGTGGGCAGCCAGAAGGAAGCGCAGGTCCCAGGTGCCGGAGGGAAGCCGGTGCCAGCAGCTGGGGGAGGAAGGCCTAATCTTGCACGAATTTTCGTGCATCGGGCCTCTAATTATTAATAATAGCTGGTCTCCTCCCCTCCCACTGAGTGGCTCAGAGAAGGTGTGAGCAGGGGGCTCGCCTCCCCTCCCACTGAGTGGCTCAGAGAAGGTGTGAGCGGGGGTGGTGGTGGGGCATCTGCCGGATCCTGAAGGCAGAGGGTAAAGGATGAGGAGAGATGGGCAAAGCAAACAGAGGGGACGGAGGGCCCCAGGAGGCTCCTCCAGCCCAGCCCCCACCCATTCTACAGATGAGGACACTGAGGCGCACAGAGGGTAAGTGACAGCAGATTGGTGATGGTGTGTTGGTGGGGTTCATGTTCATAAAATGAAAGGAGGCTTTATATCTGACCTGAGTAAATAATTTATTTCTGGATTTTTAATAATTTAAAAGCCTCCATTTCATCGTTGCCTCATCAAAAATAGAAACTTTCTTCTCTTTCATTCTAGATTTCTCTTTAAAGCAGTGCGTGGGAGCAGGGGCCGGAGCAAGGGCCTCTGAAGGGGTCTGTGACAATGTCCCCCGGACAGGCCCCGGGCCGAGAGCCTCTGGCTAGAGAAGGTGCAAGTGGCCTGTGCTTGGAGTCCCCTCCCTCCCTTAGCTCCGTTCAGTGCCCAGCGGTCCTCCGCGCTGTGTGTGAGGGGACAGAAGCCACCGAGAGCTGGGCAAGGGGCCCAGGGCCCTGGACGCAGTGGCGAACAGGCGGTGGTCAGCACCCTGGCCCTCCACCGCCACCAGCCTCCCTTCCTCAGGGCACATCTGGGTCATGACCCCGCCTCTCAAAGTTGTTGAAGGAATCCAGCGAGTCCGTGTCCATGGTGGTCCTGTCTGTGCCTAAACCTGACACATAGTAGGTCTACAACCTAGAGAAATGTCCATCCCTCGGGGACAGGCCTTTGCGAAAAGGCAGGGAACCAACGGCTGAGAGGCCGAGGGAGGGAGCACCAGGCGAGGGAGGGCCTTCCCCTGGGGTGGGCTCTGGCTTTTGGAGTCTGGACCAGCTCTTCCCCCACCCACAGCCCCCGCCTGCTCCGGGGGAAGTCCGCCAAGGAGATCCGCAGCCCTGGGTTGGGGGTGGGGGGGGTCCGGACAGACAGCATCTCACCCAGGCTCTCAGCTCCCCTCGCCAGGCGTCCTCCCTGCCTGCCCGACGGACCCTGCACGTTCTGGCCTCTCCCTGGAGCCTAGCCCTGGGGTACCCACAGCTTAAGGCAATGGTACCCAACGTGGGGCACACACCCCACAGGGGCAGCAGTTTGATTTTTAAGGGGGGGCAATTTGAGAATGAGTTAGTGATAGTAATTTTTTTGCATTTTTTATGGTTCCAGGGGCCTCATATACAGTATATAAATATAAATTGTGACAGATTTATGCATTTCAGTTCTCTATATATCCTGAAACTTTATTTGCTATTTTTTCATAGCACTTCATATTATTTTTTAAAACAATTTCTTAGTGATTTCTTCCTCAGTACTTCCACTGTCCTTTCCTTCTTCTATTTTTCTCTTTCATGGATGCCATGTTCTTTGGAAGCTTGTTTAGACCCAGTTCATGGCCTTTCAGGCTTCCTCCCCGTGAACAGGAGTCACTTTTTGAATAATAAGAATTAGGTGTCACAGGGGGGCATCCGGACGGTAGAGATGCTCAGGTGGGCGTGGCCAGAAAAAGGCTGGGAACTACTGGTTTAAGGTCTTGTTCCCAAACCATACAGCACCCCTCCCCGCCCCCAGCCCAGACACCACCTTTGACATGCGCACCTTTGTTGGGGAAGGTCATCTCGTCCTAAATCTGAGTCCGGGCATTCGTCCCTCCTGCTGGTCGGGCTGAGCTGGGTCTGTCGTTACAGCCCTGCCCCCAGGAGCCCACAGTCTGCAACGCACTTTCCAGCCACTGACCCCGACCCCAGGCAACCCTGCAGCGAAGAGCAACGAGGAACCTGCAGAAGCCTGGGCCGGGACCAGGTCTGTGTCCCCAGCTGAACGCCACCCCTGCCCCTCTCCCTGGGCCTTATTCGCTGGACCCGGACAGCATGGCCTCCGGGGGTGTAGTGGTCACTCGCCTGGGCACCAGGCTGTGGACACCCCTGTCTCCCCCAGAAGAAGCCACAGCCAAGGCGGTCAGCCGGCCCCCGGACACCACGTCTCCAGCTGAGCACGCCCCACGCCCAGCGCCTGCTGAGCTCAGCTTCTTTTTTTAAAAAAATAATTCTTTATTGTTGGAAGCATCACACATGTCCCCTTTGTGCCCCACTGACCCCCTCCAGCCCACCCGCGCCCCAGGCCTCCACCACCCCATTGTCTGTGTCCGCGGGTTGTGCATCTCTGCATACCAGGTCTTCAATGGATTAA